GCCGCCGTGCTGCTGGGCACCCCCGGGGCGCTGCGGGCGGCGCTGCGGCGGCGCTTCCTGGCCCTGGGGCGGCTGCGCTGGATGGTGCTGGACGAGGCGGACGCCCTGATGGACGACTCCTTCTCGGAGGCGCTGGAGGAGATCCTGGCGCACGCCCCCCTGGCCGCTGGAGCCCCCGGGCCGGCCGGCCCCGGGGAGGCGAGGACCCAGGTGGTGGTGGTCGGGGCCACCTTCCCGGCGGGACTGAGCCAGACGCTGGGGAAGTTCACCGACGTGGGCCGGTTTGTCATCCTCGCCACCCAGAGCCTGCACCGCCTGCCGCCCCACGTCCAGCAGAAGTTTGTCCGCCTCAAAGGCCGGGACAAGCTGCCCGAACTGCTGCAGCTACTCAAGGAGCGCCCAGCGTCCGGCGGGGCTGTTCTCGTCTTCTGCAACAGTGCCAGCACCGTCAACTGGCTGGGCTATATCCTGGATGACCACAAAATCAAGCACCTGAGGCTGCAGGGACAGATGTCGGCAGCTGCCAGAGCCGGCATCTTTGCCTCCTTCCAGAAGGGTGACGTGTCTGTCCTTGTCTGCACTGACCTTGCCTCGCGGGGGCTGGACACCGGCAGCGTGCAGCTAGTGGTCAACTATGACTTCCCAGACACCCTGCAGGACTACCTGCACCGCGTGGGGCGAGTTGGACGCGTTGGAAGCAAGGCGCCTGGAGCTGTGGTTAGTTTTGTCACCCATCGGTGGGATGTGGACCTGGTGCGGAAAATAGAGACTGCAGCCCGGAAGAGGACAGGTCTCCCAGGCATGGACTCCTCCATTAATAAGCCTCCACCTAAAGGAGGTTGATTCAGGTTGCCAAGCAGTAATAAGTGGCCTGGTAGGGACTACGCTTGAAGTCATTGAGGCAGAGGGAATGAGCTTCTGTGTGTAAACTAGACTGAAAGAACAGAGAATTGAGTTTCAGAACCAGGTGATCAGGTTAACTTCGTGCACTGTTCTGGAAGCTGCAATAGTCATTTCCATAGGCATCAGAACTCGGGACTTTCCAAAAAGAAGCTAGTAAGTAAGTAAGAAAATGCCTTTGGAGAAGACTGAATAATGATCTCCTCAGTTGATTTTGTTTAATTTTGTTGAGACCTTTAACTTGAATTCAAATCAGAATGAGAGTGTGCCTGTATGCTGTGCAGCTCTGTTGCATTTCATTGCTTCCCACCAGCAGCAGCTAAATATTCATTACTAAAAATTAAAAATTACTACTGTGGCAGGAAAAAAAGGAAAATTTTTCCTAACTTTGATAAAACTTTCACCAATTACAGATACATGTAGAAAGACTAAAGGACAAATTATATTTGATTTTCTTGTGATGCGGCAGTTCATTCAGAGAATTCTAGACCAGATACCTCTAAAGTTTGGTGGGAACGAGAAGGCACAATAAAGCTTGAGGCTTTTTCACTGTCTTAATTTGTCATTTTATGGTTACCTTTCACTGAGAAAGGACATCTTGCTGCTTCATGTTCTGTTAAATAATATTTTAAAAAGCTTTTAAGTGTTTTCTGCTCATTTTTTCTAGATGCTATGGTGACATGTCCAGTCTCTGAAATGATTGTAAAAACAATAAAAAAACCAACCCATCCAAAAAATGCCACCTGTTGAAGGAAAGACGTGTGTTGACTCATAGGTTCTAAAGGCTCACAGGTAACAGAGTACAAGATTTCTTTTGAATATCATGCCATTGTTCTTTTCTGCTTTAAACCAAAAGAACTAAAGTGAGCCTGGAGTTATTTCATATCTAGCTGCTAGTTTGTGTCCGTGGTAAATAATCACACAAAAATAGCATTTTAGTTCTGATTTCTATTGCAGTGATTTATCACCGCCTTTTCTTTTAGTGGTTGTTTTTCCCATGCTATCCACTTTAGCCTGTGCTAAAACTCAGTATGCAGAAATAGTAAACTGTTAAATGAGAAGATCACAGCATAGTATCTAAATCATTGGTTTCAGAGGAAATAAGGCACTGGAGCTACTCTTAGTATACTGAGAGTAAAAACTAAAACAGAAAACTTTCACAGATAATCACTTAAGGATAAGGCTATATAACCTTATACTGGAAATTGTACACACGTACTCTTCACGTTGCACAGTTTAGGGGCTTTTAGGGGAAGTTACAAGCTGCAGTAAAATTATTTAATACAATACAAAGCTTTCAACTTTATCGAAATACAGTGGAGGACTGATCCACTCGGAGACTGGAAACCTTTATATTTTGGACCCATTCATTGCACGGATACTTGCCTCTCATCTGCAGTTCGTTTAACTGCGAATCAGGCAATGTATGTGTCCACAAGCAGAAGCTTACTGTTCATGTATAGGAATAGGGTAAATCCTTAAACAGAAAGCTGGGAACAATATAGTATTATAATTTACAGATGATCCTATTTCCATTTGTTAATATGCATCTTCCGTTGTACCAGGTCCTCTCAACGGCTGAGAAATAGCTTCCTTTAACTGTAGACACACAGATTAAATGAGATAAATTGTATTCAAGAAACTCCAAGTAAGAAATTTTAATATTTGCTTTCCTGCTTTGCCTAAGCAATTTCAGGCTGACTCTACTCTGTCTCAAGTGTCATATAATTTGAATCTGATGTTTTTCAAAGCTGTAGCGCTTTACTGTATTGGCATAAATACCAAGTTACTACCTGCTTCATAGAGTGTCTTTCATTCCTGAGGCAGCTGGTGATGGTGACTGTGCTTCTCAGTTCAACATACAGAGTCGCCCTTTTAAGTTTCTGAGGAAAATTGTTGCTTGGGATCTGGGATGTCCAGTTTCAAGTATTTGTCTTCTCATATAGCTGTTATACAGGACTAAATCAGTCAATTGGTCAGGCTAAAATTTTTTAACTGTTGCAGATGTTGTGTATTGTAATACTTTGCTCTGTTACCTACAGTTTCCAGCTAAATAATGCAACCAAAGTTAACCACAGTTAAATGATGTCACATAAACAATAACTTCTGACACAAGATCCATGGTCAAACTATGTGGCAATGGTCATTCATAGTTAGTGCATCTGCTTAATTTGGTAATAAGAGAGTATTTTTTTTCTTGAGTTAAAATATGTGGAAGGAAAATGGGAGGAAGGTTGAATTCTGATAAATTACCCAGGCTATAAAAGGCAGTGTGGGCATACTTGACACTGAGATACAAAATACACATGTTAAAAATGAATGATTGGTGTATTACACGTTACAGAAATCAATTGTATGTGTTCTGATGGCCATAACAAGAGATGCTGAAGATGTTCTACAAGGTTATATTTGGATATTTTTGTTACATTTTTTAGACGTATAATTTGTAGTTTAACTTCTGTAACTCACTTTTAAAAACTCAGCAACGTAGTCTATGAATCTGGAATCGTGTTACAGTGAATCCCATGACAGGTCAGTCTGGAGTGCAGCACGTGATATTATCAAATTAGACAACACAGTGAAATAATAAAGTTCTTTCAGCCATATGCTTCTTAATTTTGAAGTAATATGCACTTTATATATTTACAAACAGTAACCTTGAACTTCGTACAAATGCTCTAAACTGATCATTGCTAGGGCACTGTTCATCAAAACAGTTCATCAAAAAAACCCAAACCCAACCCCACAAACCTTTTGCCATTTATATACTAAAGTGGCCAATAAAAAGCTCTGGGTAGATATACTTAGAGAACACTATATTTACCAATAAAGCCTTTTGTAAACATTACTTTCAACAAAACCACAGTTCTTTTAAGCATATATTGAGAAATACTACTTTCCTACTGTTGCACACAGAGACAGTTACTGGAGCCAGTGATTAACAGCAGTAATTACATTCAGGAGCGCAGAGACATTCAAACCCTGGGATATATAAGCTGATACAGAGCCACCAAATGCAGATATCCACATCACTGACACATGTCATGTGAAAGGTTTTACTACCCAATAGGTAAATACTATAGCAAAGCCTTCAAGGAGATTTAGAGACCCTATCACAGCTGGCGAGCTAAAAATACATGTAGCTCGCATGCGGTCAGACTTGTTTCAGAAACAAAGACATATTAAAAGACTTTTTAGTTTGGCTTTTCCCAAACTGCTTTTCAGTGCTCTCTAAATGTCACATCACTCATTGTTCACATCCTAATGGCTGACTCCACACATAATTAACTGCTCTTTTCTTGTCTGTCCATATTCTACCTTCTGTGTAACTTATTTTAGACTTTATGGGCATAACTACAACTGCATACGAGTTCTATCTTATTGGCCCTACAAGGACATTCAGGTAGTTCTGTTGCACATAGCCCAGTGCCTAGCAAGGTACCCTAGGACAAGCTGTGTCAAGTGTCCTAACAGCCAGATGGAAAAATGCCTCTTACCACTCCCGTGATCTGACAAAGTCCACTTTTTTTCAGGCTGCACTGCTCTCTGAAATGCACTTGTATACCTCTTTTCCCCAGACAGCACCCTTTCCCTTCCTCTTCCTCCTGAAATGTATTTGGGAGCACAATTTACACATTAGCAGTCAAGTGCGTGGTAGAGAAGTTCTCCATGCGTATTCTAACCAGTTTCTCAGTGGGAACCGGCTGCAGGAAGAACTTGCAGGTGAAGACTTGCCGGCAGGCCTTGCGGAAGTTTTCCAAGAGGAAAGCGTAAATGATGGGGTTGATGCAAGATTTCCCATAGGCTAAGCAGTGAGAGATGATGCAGAAGGTGAAGGAGATGTTGTTCAGCGGAAACTGCCCAAACTTTGCCCACATCATGATGATGTGGTGGGGCAGCCAGGAGAGCAGGAACGTGGCAATCACGAGAAGCATTGTCTGTGCTGTCTTGAAAAAGGCAAGATCGCATATTAAATGGTCACAGTGATCAAGTCAGTCTGTAGTATGAGTGAGTTTGCCTTTCTCTGTCAGTAGTGAAGGCAGTGTGACACAGGCAACACTGATGACTGCCAGGTGGGCAAATTATGACAATATGAAGAAGGATGCTAAAACCCAACACTCCTCCCTGGAAAACAAGGATTGCCTAGTTTTGGCTCAAGCAAATAACTATAGGCACTGGAGATAGTGCCCATTAAACCTCAAACAATACAGAGGCTGCAGCAGTAATGCTAACTATGTTACGTGGAAGAGTGGAAATAATATTCCCTAACATGTGGAGGCTGAGGAACATTAAGACTATTGAAAATAACTGCAGGGGAACATGCCAGTGAGAGGAGTAACAAAGACTGACCTGAGGAGAAAGATTTTTCCAGTAGCTTCCTTCTTATGGGAAAAAAAACCAAGAAAAACAATGCATGAAGGATTTTTTTTTTTTTAAATATGCAGTGCTCTTTGGTTAGAAGTATTCCTAGCTAGACAGTTACCTGAGGGAGGCTCACTGCGCCTGTGGGATCGCAGCCCGTGTGCTGGCTGGGTTACAGGTGTGCCCTGGCAGCGCTCGCTCTCCAGTCAGGCTGGCCAGTTGCCATCGCAAGCTGTCATTTGTAAGCCCCAAAGCTTGACCTGAGGTAAATTTTTCCCAAAACCGGTGTCCTTCAAAGTCACCATCCAAAATGAAGGTTAATGTGAGGTGAGCTGCTGACTGCAGTTGTGGTAGCCCCACAGCTGGGGAAGAAGAACGAGGGATGAGGTAGTGCCTTGGGAGGGCTGAGGAACATTTAATCAGTGGTTATAATGGCTACACCTAGCAGTTGTTTTGTCTGCTAGAGCAGGCCTGCAGGATTTCGTATCTCATTTCAAAGCACTCTGTAGCATTCTATCTCTATACCTGTTATGCTAAAATGCATAAATAGAAGTTAAAAAGACTCAGGCGTACATATATCTAACACCAAAGCTGGAATGATCTTTTAGGAAAAGGGAGACCTTTTTTCTTTCTCAGCCCCCCAACAGTGAATACAACAGCTGCTGCAAAACCTTTGTATGTTCTCTGACTTTTCTGCAGTATTGCACAGTTGGCATGACTTGCCAAATTAACCATGTCTCCCAGGCAGTATTTCAGTGATGACTCAGGTGGCTGGGTAGAGCTGGTCTCAGGAAGGAGATTTTTTGGATTCCCATTAAACTGGGAGGGCATTTAATGGGTGGTTTCTTCCTCTCTTGATACTCTCTGTGGCTGTGTGCTTTGGGTGAGGTGGAAATTGCAGCATGTTTTAGTAAGTCTGCCCCTCTATGGCATATGCTTGGCCTTGTTGGAAATGTAATAAGAGGAAAATAAGGAAATTAGGAGTACCAGAATTAATGAAGCAAGGTTTCCTAAGGAATCATGTCTTTGATGGGTTCTCTGGTGCCCTAAAAGACAGTAGTGATACAACTGAAATACTTCTCAGACCATTTGCAGTCTTTCCCTTGTCAGTGGCTCTCCAGGTATTTAATAGAGTTTCACTCATCTAGAGACTACTTCAGTGATGCATTTTTCTGTCTTCCTGTATCAGTGAGTTAGGTATCATGTTCATGAATGTATACTGGCTAACGGAAGGCTTCTGTATTGCAGACTAACTACCAAGATCATGTTCTGGAGTTCATGACAGCATGGAGAAATGACAGCATGCTCCAGGGAAGAGCAGAGTGACGTTACTTCATAGCAGAAAGAATATAAGGTGATTAGATCTTGGTGCATAACATCTGGGATTGTAGCGACTGCACTCATACATGAGAACAGTGGGAGACACTGCTAAAATATTTATAAACAAGTCTTATGTTTGTTATGTGACTTGTTCGAAAGCGCTGGAGATACAGGGTGAAACTGGAGGAAATATATTTGTCTTCCAGGTGCTTCTGTTTCATTTTAGTAACTGTCCTATAATGCTCTTGAAGTTTTCTAAGATTATTTAGAAATTTAAATACCTTTTGTTTTGATTTTTTTTTTTTAATGTCAAAATACTTGAGAAGTCACTTGCAGGTCTAGGAAGCTGCTACACTTATGTGTTCAGATATAGTTCTTTATTATATATCTGGCTAGGGCTTACTTTAGCTAGACAACTGGAGTTGGAGCAGGACCTTCATATTATGCTGACCTTCCTAAGTAACAGTATTAAAACCTGCAAAACATGAGGGCATACTAGAATTCTAATTATCGTTTATAACATACATTTAATCTGATCTTATATCTGAGTGAATCACACTAAAATGTTTAAAGTATATTCTGCTTACTAGGACACTAGTAATGTGGGGGAAGGCTAAAATGTGCTTTACATGGCAACTGCTTTTCCTTCTACTTGTTTAACCCTGAAGAAAAATCAACTGCATGATAAAGAGGGGTTTTCTCTATGTTGGACAGACACCATCTTTACTCTGTTTACATACGGACTGCAGTAATGATCTGCAATAAAAACATGTGATTATTGAAGTGGAAAAACGTGTTTGGATATGAGCCAAAAGTACCACCTTCATTTGTTTTAGCTATATTAACAAGCCAGTTAAATCTGTTAACCTGTCTAGGAAGTTGTTATTGCATCAGATCAAGATTGCTCTGCAGATAAGAGAAAACATTTGCCTATAATACAAGTTAAAAAAAAAAAAGAAGGGATTTCTGTCAAATAGGTCTCTCAAGTAAGTCTGTACGAATTTTGAAAGGCAATAACCAGTAGGGTCATCCTGTACCTGGCATACTTCAGGTGCTTCCTTGTTTCGCCTACTAGAATGCTATATGACATACGAGGTGACAAAGCAAGTTCTCATGTGAGTGAACAACCTCAGCTCTCAAACGTCCCCAAACTGGCCACACTGGGAACCAGATGCTGTCCTTAAAAAATATACTGGTATGATTAGAAGTTGATGGAACTAAAAGACACAGATGTAGTGGTCTTGTGGGGTCTAGCTTGTCTATGTGGTATGATGGGTACTGAAGAAATCATGAATAAACAGGTCCCATCCTTAGCTTTCACCAGCGATAATCGTGCTACTTTTTTGCACTCTATCAATGTTAAGTAGCTTAGGCTTGTTACCAAGGCAACCTTTCATAGCATCCTTCTGCTTAAATTAGGGGGCTACAAGCACTGAAATATTCTTTTGAATAAGGGATATATACCTAGATTTTTTTTCCTTTTATTGTGAAGTAACAAACTGCACATTTAACATAGGCCTTGCTATTAAAAAATGGGCTTGCGATTGCTAGGTATTAGCACAAAGCTGTTTCTAAGGTCCAGCTATTTAGGATTTTGCAGGTGGAATACATAGACAATACTAGAGCAATAATATATATAATTCATGACTCAAGAAACATGTTTTGCAGATGGAACTTGTGACTGTTTTTTCAAGTTGGGGAATATCTAGTTAAGATAGAGGAAACTGAAACAAAACATTATGTTGGGCTTTTAATGTGGTAACTTTGTTGTAGCTAAGACTAATGTTAATATAGAGTGTGGCCAGCTGTGGAGGACTGATCCAAACAGCTTTTGTACTGTTTGAGTTTGTTCAGTGAGCTATGATAATTTGCATAGTTAATGGATTACTGTTGGTCCAGCTGTGCCCAGTTAATGCTAGCCTTCTGGTTCATCTCCAAAGGTTCAGTGGGTCCGTAATAGATATGTACAATGGCCACTACTGGATTATCTAATTGTCTCTTAATACTCCTAGAAGTCTTTCAAGCAGCTCCACAAAATAACTTAGTGCATTATTTGTTGTACAGACAAAGTAAGTGTGCTTAAGCTATACAGTGAATCAATAGCATGATGGGAAATAGAGACTGGGAGAGGCAAATATTTTTGTTTGTCAAATAAATAGAAAAACTCCTCTCTTATTTCCTCCCCCTTATTGTTTCTGCCATGCATAGATTGTCTAGAATTTACTTGGTTATTCTTTTGTTATCTTTATAGGTGATCTGAATCTCATTTATGCTTTCCTGCTTTTCTTTGTTTTCCCTTTGACTCTTTTCAGCCCTGGACAAACTATTTCTTGCTTTTAGCCTTCCCCTATCCTTCAAAAACCGATGGGAAATGCATTTAAAATGCTTTTTGGGGGAGATGCCTCATTCTGGAGGATGATGAAGTCTTTAGCGTTTAATTGTGTTTGGAGCTTTGTCCTCAATAAGCTTCTAATGAAGCTGCCTCAACTTGTCAGGCAACTTGTCAAGGGCAAAAGTAAGATTGCCCTGTAATGAGTCAAATGCTTTGAGTATTCCATGGATTTACCTATTTTTGGCAGAACTACCTGATACTTTAGATTAATAAACACTCCTGAGATTAAAATATACAGTGGACAGAGCAGTCTAAAGGCAGAGAGCTTGTCACTTCCCTGATCTAGTAATAGTTTGAGACAGCTAGCTGCACATCTTTTTTCAGAACTGATCAGACTGTCCATTCGTACTGTGTACCTCAGCCACACAGAAATGGGGAAGAACATTCAATGAGGTTTTTATTAAACAGTACATTCTCACTAGCCTGCAGAAAAAACTGGGCTTTGTTAGTGAGACAACTGCTGTTTTCTGAATATGGTAGAAGTTTTTTTCTCTTTTTTTTTCTTCCATGATTCTGAAGGAAGAAGCATAAATAAGCCTATGCCTGTTCTTCCACACTGTCTTATCAGCAAATAACAACTCACCCTTCCTTTATTACTGCTCTGTGGGAGGGTGGGGGATATAATGAACTTATTTTGGACTTTGGGTCATCCTTCCCCTTATTCCCCGAAACTAGTTTCAATTAATAATGTTCTGCTGTGACTCCAAAGGCAGACTTATTCTAGCTAGTGTTGCTTCTTCACACCATACCATACTTCCTCAGCCTTTGTGTGGGGGCCAGGACTTTTCTCTTGACTAATACAAAGCCTATCTGATGATGTGTTTTACTGATAAATTCTTTTCTCTTGTTATGCTCGTCTCTAACTTGCATCTC